ACAAGCAAACGAAAAAAAAAACAAGTATAAACACGCGTGCATAATACGCATTTACATACAAACGTATACATACAAATTAAACAAACATACACACATACATACATTCACACATATACATACAAACATACATACATACAAACATACATACATACATACAAGCATACATACATACATGCATACAAACATACATACATACAAACATACATACTTACATACATACAAACATACACACATACATACATACATTCACACATATACAAACAAACATACATACATACGCTGGAGCGAATGAATTGGTCTTAATGTTTTTGCCTTAATCATTCAAGCATTCTTCGTCAATACTCAACAATAAATAATAATAATAATATTTATAATAATAATAATAATATATATAATAATAATAATAATAAATAATATCATTGTAATACTGAAATTATTAACGGAAGTGCAAATATAATAACGAAATGTAGTAAACAAATTATTACTCTGGAATGTGTAACACAAGTGAATGGATGAATGATTAGATGAGTGAATGAATGAATGAAAGAAGGAAGGATTAATTGAAATAATGTATAAATGAATGAATGAATGATTGATTGATTGACATAACGACTGTCTGAATGAATGAATGAATGAATGAATGAATGAATGAATGAATGAATGAATGAACGAATGAATGAATGAATGAATGAATGAAAAGTGGAAAAACATACGATTTTACTAAAGAACAAGTAAACGAACGAAAGAACGAATGAATTAATAGATAAATGAATGAATGAATGAACGAACGAAGAAGCGAGAAGACAAATTCAGAAGATAAAGCAAACAAATAATAAAATTATTCCATCTGCAAGAGTTCTACGACCGCTGTCTTCCAACATGAAAATAAACATGTAGACAGACTAGGAAGCATTGAGAAAAAATTATAATTATTCATAATTATCTATAATTATTCATAATTATTCAAAATTATTTATAATTATGGATTATTATGCATGATCCCGCGGTTTAAGTTTTGCCAGTACCGCGTTCGAATTCGAAGAGCTACCTGGCTGTCATATGCAGTGTGTGTAAGTGTGCGTGCGTGTGTGTGTGTGTGTGCGTGTGCGTGTCGATAATCTTATCTTGAAATTTTATTTAAAGAATTATTAATAATTATTCTTCATTACTTCATAATTATTAATAATTGTTTAGAGAGAGAGAGAGAGAGAGAGAGAGAGAGAAAAAGAAAGAGAGAGAGAAAAAGAAAGAGAGAGAGAAAAAGAAAGAGAGAGAAAAGGAGAGGAAGGAATGGCGAAAAAAGAAGATGGAAAGACAGGATAGAAAAAAGGAAGACGAACAAGTGATTTAAAAACCGGGGAGTAAACAAAGATAAAAAAATCATAAACAAACAAGCGGAAAACAAAGAAACGGAATTGATATAAAAATAAATGGAGCATAAGAGGTGAACAAAGATATTTGAATGAGAAAAAACCACTAGACAAACAGCTAGACAGACAGACGGACAGGCAGACAGACAGACAGACAGACAAAAGGATAAACAAATTGATAAAAAATATTATAAACACATGTGCATTGACACATACAAAGGTAGCATAATATGGATGACCCACACGCACACACATACAAATATATACTAAAAACACAAACACACACACATTCACACATTCACGCATATAAATACATAATACATACATACATACAGACATAAATACATACATACATACATACATACATACATACATACATACATACATACATACATACATACATACATACATACATACATACTTGCAAACAAATTATTTTCTATTACCTTTTGATGAAATGCTAGATAAAAGCTTCATTCTCTCTACATGATGATGATGGTGGTGGTGGTGGTGGTGTGTGATTATGATGATGAAGAGGAGGACGATTAATTAATTAATTCATTCATTCATTCATTCACTCATTCATTCATTCCGTAAGTATTCTGTTTTATTCAAACACCAAGTTAAATGTTGACAAAATATCCGGTTTGAACGAACGAACGAACGAACGAATGACCGAGCGAACGAACGAACAAATCGCCGAACGAACGGATGAACAAACAAACGAACAAATGAATGAACAAATAAATAAATAAATGACTAAATATGTTAATGAGATCAGGTATTGAATAAGTTAGATACATGGGCCATCCTGACATATCATATACAAGTACATACATATCGATATTTCTTTATAGTGGGGCTAGAATATGATGCTGATTATGATTGTGAGGACGACGACGACGACGATGATGATGATGATGATAACAAAAAGTCAATAATAAGAAAAATAATAAGAATAATAATAATAATAATAAAAATAATAAGGGGAAAAAATATTTCCTGCTGATTAAAGTTTTAAGCTGAGTTATCTGGTACAAATGAAAGGTATTATGGATCGATGGATCGTTGGTTGGTCACTATCATCATCATCATCATCACCATCATCTTCATCATCATGATGTTCTTTTTCATCTTCGTCTTCTTCATCTTCTTCTTCGTCATCATCATCATTTTAGAAACATATCGTGATCATTTTCTCAGTCTACTCCTAAACATGCAATCCCACCAGCTTCATCACCATCATCATCATTACTACCATTATCCCCATCATCAACACCTTCATCATCATCATCATCATGATCCTTACCATCATCATCATCATCGCCATCATTATCCTCACCATCATCACCATCATCATCACCATTACCACCACCATCATTATCATCATCTCTACCATCATCAACACCATCATCATCGTCATCATGATGATCATCTTGTTATCAGTTGCGGACCTATCATGTTTGCTGACTAGGCCAGACTATATTTTTATTAAAAAATGTAAAATTCGCGCGCACACACGCACACGTTCACACAGACATGCAAACAAACAAACACACATACATACTTACATACATACAAACAAACAAACAAACATACAGACATACGTGCATATAGACATAGACACACATACATACTTACATACACACACATA